ACAGACACACACATACACACACTCAACCCCCCTCACACACACACACACACACACAAACATCCCCCAACACACACAGACACACACATACACACACTCAACCCCCCTCACACACACGCACACACATACACACACACAAACAAACAAACCACAAAAAACCGGCTTGCTAGCTTATCGACAGCCAACGACCACTGCAACATCCAAAGGCGTAGAACGACTGATAAATCCAAAGGTCAAAGTTCAGGATGATGAGCATTCCAGATCATTTAATTGTTGATTCAGATTCTTCTGCTATTTCTTAAAACGGTACTTCATTTGTGTCGCTAAAGAAATGGTACATTTGAAAGAGCTCAGTAAGTTTGTTTTTGTTTAAGTAGAGGTTTTACGGCGCTCGCTACTGCATAAGGTCATATGAGCGCCAGAAGATTAGAGGTGTTACAAGAGAGTAAAAAACATAAAATAGAAGGAGGGGAGACAAGGACGATAGATGTTTGATAGGAAAGAAAAAGCAAACCACACCAGAGCACCCGCCAACCACCCACTAACAACAACAACAGAAACATTTGTTGAAAGCATAACAAAAAACAACCCCCAAAAACAAAGTAGAAAACAGCAATTTCCCCTTCCTGGTGTCTCAGTCTTTCTGCTGAGACATTGTATCCCTGATCTTTGCCTGGTTTGACCCAGATAGACGAGGTCTTAGCCCGCCTCCAAAGTGATCTAACGATCTAATTTGTGTTGACCATCACCATCATCAATAATTGTGAAGCGAGAGAAAAAAATGAGTTACTCCTCGGGTTCGAGCCTTAAGGAAACAGATATATCACGCTTATTGGTGAAGATTTTACAATTTATGAGAATAAAATACTAAAAGACATGTCATATTGAAAGAATATAGCAGCAATAGAAAATCTACAAATTTGACTCTAATGTTGAATTTTGGCCAACATCTCCGTTTGTGAATTGTGAGAAGTAACTCATTTTGTCAGCATACCTCACAATTTTCCCCCGTTCCTGGTATCTCAGTCTTCCTGCTGAGACATTGTATCCCTCCTAGCCTGGTTTGACCCAGACAAGTGAGGTCTATGCCCGCCTCCAAAATGATCTAATTAGTGTTGACCACTACCATCATCAATAACTGGTCACTTTTAAGGACAAGCGGGCTAACCCAGATTTCGGGGTTTCCAGAAATCTTAACCTACACCAAAAGTGGGTATTGCCCTACTAATGGGAGAAGTTTGGTTTCATTGGTGTGTATATTTGTTTGGTTCTAGAGAAAACTCTCCTTGACTTTTAAAGAAACTGAAGAAGGGGCAAAAACTTTACTGTCGATTTTCTCAAAACACCGTTTTTTTGGGATAGCCCCCTTGTGCTTGAAAGCGACTAATTTATTTATAGAGGCACCAACCATCCATGTCCAGGTGCTGTTTTAGCCATAACATGTGATGATGGGCGCATAAAAACACCTACGTTTAAAAAAGAAGAAATTGCAACAAACAAAAAAAATGAGTAAAGGATTACCTCCACTGATTTCCTCCGGTTTCTTGTTTTCGTTCTTCGTGTCTTCCTTCTCTCTGCAACTCCTTCTCTCACTCCTTCTCTCTGTAGACTCGCCATCTCTATCCAAAGACATCAAGGCACTCCCTCTAGACGAAGCAGTGCGGTCGTCGATGTTGGAAGCCTGTACATCAGATCGGGAATCTCCACCTTCCTGATCCACACCTCTCCTCTCGGAGTCAGAACCACTTCTCTGGTACGGCTGCCAAAAACTGTTGTTGTTGTTGTTGTTGTTGTTGTTGTTGTTGTTGTTGTTGTTGTTCGTTTGCAACGTTGTCGTTGTCACTGTATTGTGGTGTTGTTCAGACTGCGAGTGTTGCTGCTGCTGCTGTTGTTGAGAAAGTTGTTGTTGTTGTTGCTGCTGCTCCTGCTGAGTTTGAAGATGGTGCTGATGCTGATGCTGGTGGTGGTGGTTGTGGTGGTGATGGTGGTGGTGGTATCCAGAGCTGGTGACGTCATAAAACACATCCGAAGCTGACGTGGGAGGTGGGAGAATGTGTAAAGATTCCATTACGAACCACGTGGAACAAGGAGAAAAGGAAGGCACACAGGTGTGGTGTTATATCGCACGCTCCGCGACAGCGCAAGACTCAACAACACAGCGCTCAAGGCTGAGCCACAAAGGATGGAACATTCTGTTCATTTATATCCCAAGACAAGAGAAACTTGCACCTGAGATTAAATGCACAATCACTTTTTAAAAGATAAGATAAAAAAAAAAAAGAAAATCACCTACTTAGCTACATAAACCCCCCAAATGAAAACAAAAAAATATGACCAAATATACAGTAAAATAATTAATGCATACTATATACGTAGAATACAGAAATAAATTAATTAATAAATGTATAGATAAAAAAAACAAAAACAACATATAACAAGAATAA